GTAGTGATTTCCGTTGGAATTTTAAAAAAATCTTTCTCTCAAAATAATTTACATAAAAACAGAATGTTCATGAGTAACTGTTATCGTTCTATCCATCACTGTTGAGGGGTTTCCTTCCTAAACTTTTATTTGAAGTACAATGGAATGGTAAGAAAATCGTGTCATTATTTTCTCTTCGAGTTACGTGTGCTATTTACCTTAGTTGTTGCAGGTGTTGGCAGTACTCAAGTGATATGGTTTCTGTTATTTAGTACAACTCTATGTGATTCTGTAACGTCAGTCCACAAGGTTCTAAGAAGGATGATCTTTGCCAAGACCTACAAGCCTTCAAAGCCTTTTTAAAAACATTGTTCTTAGAAAGCGCCTGTATACAGCTGACTGTATAGATATTTCTGGACGTGTTTTTGCGCCATGTATGATATCCATACGTTGGTTTCAATCTGACGAGGTTATTTAAGAACATGACTCGCGTTTTCACGTTGATGTTTTGATTTTCTAGCGATTTGTGGTGTTGGGCGAAACTTTTCTCATACAGTCTCATTTCTGAATGACAGGATACTCAAGATCCTAATGAACAGCCAGTTAGAACAGGGCTACAAGAATGTTGGACGCCCATGGCTAAGATATAAAGACAAGCTGAAGAACAACTTGTCAGCTGTCAATATACCACATAACACTCTTGAGCACTTAGACTTGCAGTGGGTAGAATGGAGATCAACATGTTTTAGTATTTAGTTTTCCGTCAGCTTGTCTGAATCGTCTTCAAGAAGCGAGTGCAAGATTTAAAAGGTCAGCCAATCTCACAATGATCTCATCTCACAATACTTACTCTTGCTCCATATGCGGCCTCCTTTGTAAATCACTAGCGGGTCTCAAATGCCACTTAAGATTATCGCACAAAATTTCATAACTGAATCAAGTAAGTTGTCAGATCCTCATACGTCGAAACCGACGGGAGAGTCGATTATATATATATATATATATATATATATATATATATATATATATATATATATATATATATATATATGTATATAATCGAAAGGACAATTATACTAAATGATAATTAATTATTTGAAATAGCTATGTTCGAAATACGTATATTGATTTAAGTTAAGAGAGTTTATTCTTATTTATCTAGAACTAGTAACACCCTTGAAAGATAGAATTGGGCTTTTTTGAAGCAATTGTCATCCCACAATATTGAAATTCTTAGGCACTCTTAAAATAGCATTATATATTCACACAGTTTAAACAAGAAATGTTCACAGAACATGTTCTTTCTGACCTGAAAGAATAAGGGATTCAGTTGTTATGACCAAACAGAAGCCACTTGAATGTGGTAATAAAATAAACACATCCCCTCTCGCTTGCAACAATCCTGTATAATAAAATAAACGTTTTGGCGCTAAAGCTGAATTAGTCAAATAAAGTTTCGTGAATCAAATTAGTGAGGTGTATGATACTCAGTGACGACCGGCCTCTCCTCACCCGTCCTTCATGTTTGTGGCACAGACTAATGTGTAAAACATCAATTAAATAAATTAGTCAAATAAACCTTCATAAGCTACTAGTTACAGTTGTCGATATATTTACAGTTACCGTAACAAAGAGATGAGTTTGCTGAACCATTGATTTTTATTCTTTTTCTTTTATCTTATTTTTCATTGTATGATTTTACTTCATGACGTTATATACATCAAACCAACTCATAGTGTAACCACGGCCCAAAACTGAAGGCCTATTTCAAAAATTTTTGTTACATTGAGGGCGATACATTTTAATTTTATTTTTGGTTTGCTGAAGTTCAATACTAGACTCGGTTTAAGAACTCTTTGTCTTTTAGACTTGGAATAACTAACTTATGCAATTATGAATTGAAGTAAGTATAGTGCTTATTTATTTATTCCAGAATTACTATATTATTTTTGTTTGTAGCGAAAACAATATCTTGTGCAAAAATTCACTAAGTAATCTAATTTCGGAATCTCGGTCATGTTATTTGGAAGTTAATGTATAATTTTTTATATGATGTTCATTTACCTTTTTTACACAAATTTAAATTAATATTTTTCTCAATGAAATTTTTAATTATAAAATCAAATGTACTAATGATTAACTATATTTTATATTTAATCATTTATTTAATTATGTTTTTGTTCACACTTCTCGCCCGTGGAACTCTCTTCGGGCTTCTTGTTTTCCAACCAACGTTGGTTTTCAGAAGCTTAAATGCAATTTCAATCGTTATCTATTGCCTTATTGATTCCTTTTTTTTATTGTTCCCTCTGCTTAATAGTATTTTCATTTACTCATACTAAGTAATCTCTTGCATCTTAGTAGCTTTATTGCTTTGCTTGTGGTAAAATGATTAAAAAAAACTTAGATGCTTAGCTCGCCAGAACATTTTCTATGGAAATACCGATATAGTAGGACCATCCATGGGAAAGATGCCTTAGAGCTAGAAATAATTGATCGATCATAAGCCATAAATCTGGGTCGACTCAGGGTTTGAGGGATGTGGTTGTATTCAACTCATGTCGTTCTACCTCAGATATAACCCCCTCCCCCCAAAATAGGATTTTATAAGTAATCGCTCAACTTTTGGGATTTAGCAGTGCTCAAATTTTGCAATGCTGCATTTTCTCTCCGTTCGTTTCTAATTGGATGTCTCACTATCGTATAAACTCTCCAAACTAGACAAGGAGTATTAATCAATATTTGCTCTTAACAATTCATGTCATGCTTATTGACATGTATGCGACATCAAATATCTTCCATATTACATCCCCGTCTTATACACAAAAATGGAGGCCTCTCGTAGGCTACATCCATCCCTAAATATTTACTACCCTAGGTAATATATTAGGTGGTCGCCTCTACCTATCGTGATTTCATAATACTGTTATTTATTTATTAATATTATTGTTACTGTAAAAGAAATTCTTTTAACAAAGAGCCAGATAATACGCCATGCTTAGATATGCCACAATACATCTATTATTAAATAAGTCGAATTTTTTTCATCATTCCACGCCAATCATGGCTACTAAGATGCACGGGGCTATATCACAGAGGAGAAAGAACAATAAAAGAAGAGGTTTATGGAAAAAATATTGATACTGCATTTAAATGTTTAAAGATTTTAAGAGGAGTGTATGATAAAACAAAAAGACATTTGCATAAGTAAGAATTGCGATTAGAATAGAACTAGCCATTTCAAAATAATGAGACCTAATTGCCAGTCTAGTAGTACGTTTAAATACAGCGGGTTGGAGTACCAAGAAGAACAGTTCCCTTGAATATTTATACACAATAAATGTTTTATAAACCTTCCAAACTCTAAAAAACTGGTTTAAAATATTTAACACGTTTGGTAAACAAAAACACTAAAAAGCAAAAGAAATTACGAAATCGTACATAAACAAACAAACACAAATATTGAAAAGTTTGTTAATTTTAGAAAAAAAAACAGTAGAAACAAAAAAAATGAAAATATATGTCGGGATTTAAGTCTAAAACATTCTGAGATTATGAAGTCATTATTTAAGATACAATAAAATCATTTATACTTCTTTTTTGACAGTACTAACACCTAAACTATCAATTAATAAAAATTAACGAGGGTTATAGGCGTTCTGAATTCAAGGAAAGCTGAAGCGTTTTGTCGAAACTCCAAAAAATTAACGGATTGTCTGTTTTAATTGAAAAAATGTAATATATTTTACAGAAAAGACAGAAAGAAGTAAGCCATTCCACTGCAGTGGGAAAACGACTGTAGTCGAGATGACAGACCAAGATCAAAAATATTAATGAAACTCCTTTGGAATTTGTCGAGAATCTTCACATATATGGTAAGAGAACCAAACCAAATATGACAGTAATGTCAAATGCCTGGATAAATGGTAGATTTATAAATGTTCAAAATGGATTCCATTGAGAAAGACTATCTGGTACGGCACAGCAATTGTAGCAGATCTTACAAATAATTTAATATCTTTAGTCTACTTCATGTCAGTAGAAGACGCGAGACCAAAAAAGTCGCAATGAATTCGTCTGTTGAAGGTTAGGATCAGACATGATGATGGTGGAGCAAAAATGGTTCTCTATGATAGTGTTATGTAGTGGTTTCACAGTGGAGGCTTGTAGTCGGTCCTAAAATAGGTTCGACGTACAAAACGTTAGGAACTTGATATAATATGTAATGACGCAGTAATCTAGTTGGGGTGGCTGATACTTCAATATCCGACGAACGGTCGTCCGACATCTCCCGCTACTACTACTACTCCTACTTATTATAGGTGGGAGAGTCTATTAGCTATAGAATAGGTGTGTTCCATTATAACAGGTAGTAGCTTCGGTTTGGAGGCATTAAAATGTACAAGACATTTCTTGTTCCAGTTAACAACTGATTGGAAGTTGTTTCCGAGAGCAGCTACCAGAAGCTGCATTCTTGCGATTTATGTTTAGTTCATTCTTCTCACTTTACTTTATTATTTTCTGTTGGAGTTCTTGTGTTTTTCTTTCTGTGTCTGCTATCAACACTGTGTCATCTGCATTTCTTATGACGCAGAAAAAGAAATCTTGCATTAAACCATGCATGCATAAATACAGCAAAAAAGGTGTTTTTTCAGGATATACTCTAAAAAAATGAGGGTACATCTACTCTTCTAGTGTGTATTTTATTTTCGAAAAATCTCACAACTGAGGACGTTTCCACATTCATTAATGCGTATGCGTGTGTGTGTGTATGTATGTGTGCGTGTGTGTGTGTGATTGTTTGACGGAGTCATTTGAGAGTAAATATTTTGGGATTGTAAGAATTTGTCGGAAGCTAATGGATTTTTTTTATTTGATACAAGTGCTACTATTTAACCCATAGCTAAGGGGAGAATGTGGATTCAGCTTTTTCCCAGGTGTATTTGCGCGCAAGCGAATAAAAAAGAACACGATTTTCTCATTCCGAGCCGTTATCCACAAAATCACAAGCGCATCAAGCTTTACAGCGCCTGGTATTTCCAAGAGATCACCCATCTAGTTACTAACCAGATACGACGTTGCTTAACTTCGCTGATTGGACGGGAACCAGTGTTTCAGCGTTATATTAGCGTAAGTCGTGTGTTTGCGTGTGCGTGTGTATGTCTGTGTGTGTGTATGTAAATATTCAAGGACTTTCTCTGTGTATTTATGGCTGTGATCCAACATTTTATGGATCTAGAACTGTTTTCGCGGGTGAACAGCACAAATGAGAATCGTTGACCTGCAGCAAAATACGAAACTGCACATTTCGCGCAATTGGCGCACTCGCTATCTTTCTTCTTTCCCGGAACCAATTCCTGAAAATAGATTTCCCCTTTAACTTGACAACCGTACTTATCATTTCGATAATAGAAAATGTCTTCAAAGAGTTCGTACCTTCTTATTTGTGACACTGTAGTTCCAGTTCAACGCCCTGATACAACAAATATGCCATTTTGTAGATGTGATGGCCTAACCGTAATAATTGTGTTCGATTCTTAGTTATATAACATTTCCCAGCGTGCCAACGGAAAATGTATTCATATATTTGTTATTTGCTGTTCTTATTGCAGACAACGGAACACTTCTTTCTATCTATCTATCTATCTATCTATCTATCTATCTCTCTCTCTCTCTCTCTCTCTCTCTCTCTATATATATATATATATATATATATATATATATATATATCAAGCTATTCACTTATCTATCTCAAACTCTTCTATCTATCTATCTGATCATCTTTAAACAAGCACTCCTGTCCAGCTTTCTAAAGCGCTAACCTGGCTTCATATTTGTTTCTACGCGTTTATTGATGAAGGACATTGAGAGCACATACGTGGAGTCGTATTAATGATATTTGTAGTAAAGAAGATTAAAACAAAACTTTCATATTTCTAGTTAAAAAGTGGTTAGGATTTAGAAACACAGATCTGCAGTGAAGTGCCAGCATTTCCCATAAGAATTTGAAATTTTTTATTTAATCTATTTAGATATATTTGTTAGGAGGGCTGTTGAATGGCACAAATGGATTAAGCATCCAAAAAAGATTCAAATAGAGGTAAACATAAAGATTTATTATTAAATATCTATATATATTATATCGGAATCTCAGGTAGTGTCAGCCATATAATACCAAAAGCGGGCAATTCTTAATTTATCGTATGAAAGAAACTGATTAAGTTTCACATATCTTCCTACGAACATTTTTTTTTACGTTTTGATATTAAGTAGTTAATTTGGAAATATATACTAAAAATGAGTAAATATTTGTTCCTGGTATGTTTTGTTCTCGTTATGTGAAACAGGCAAAATATGGAAAAGAACTTTGTTGGAATTTTGTTTCAGAATCCACTCATTATTGGTAAGTATAAATAAAATATCACTAATCAGGGAAATGCTTAAAATGAACCTGAAATTAAAGGCACAAGGTACAAGACGATATGAAAATGGTTGCAGGTTCTATCGGCAAAAAAAGATATTTCAAACGGAACTCAAGAAGTTTTACAGGGAAACTGGAAAAGCATTTATAGATGTCAATCTATTAAGAAGTGCAAAAATTTTGGGAAAATATTCAGAGCAACCCAAATGAGGATAATTCCAATGCAGAGTGGATCAAACGAGAACAAGAAAGAATGAAAGATAAACCTTTGCAAGAATGGGAAAATATAACCAAGAATATCGTAATTCCTCATGATAATACGGATTCATCCATAATACGCACCCCAAAATTTGTGCTGAAAATGTGGGAAATGCTTCTCCTCGGGCATAATGCGCCTCCATGTTTGGTAATCAAACGCTATAAGTTTTACCACTCCAATTTCATCACAGCGTTTCCTACTCTTATTATAAAAAAGTAGTTTTAAACAGAGAATAATATCATTCTAATTTATTTTATAATAATTCTTATTTTATTTTACATTTGTAAATATTGTTACGTATATATGATTGGATTTGGCATCATTATGGCGTCGTAATCGCAGAATGTTATTGTCGAATTGTCGTATGTTTGTGGTGAGTAGTCATTTCGCAACTGAAACGGCAACTTTTAAAAGGTTTTTTATAGCTATGTATAATACGCACCCCTAATTTTGCTTATTACTTTTAGAAAAAAAATTCGTATTAAACATGGGGAGTTATGGTAATGTTAAGCACGCTCCTACAAAATCCCAAAATGGAAATCCTAAGGAAATGACAAGGTACCAGTTTTTCGGTTCTATCATCTGTCATCCATCTATGAAGATCTTGTGCAATGTTTATCAATGCTAAATAATAACCGCAACAAAATGCCTGAATGGATAACATATGGTATTGCATATCTCCTGCCAAAAAAAACTGTGTAACAGATGATCTCAAAATATTGGCTAATGATATGACTGTCCACAACAAATATATTTATCACGTCTTTTCCTGATAAACTGTACATAATCTTTTCTCGATGAAAACAACATTCATCAGCTGGAACAGAAGGGATGTTGAAGAGGTTCATATGGCTGCAAAGATCAACTACTGATAAATAAAATGGCCCTGAAAAATTGTATGAAAAGATGTAGAAATCTCATCACAGCTTGAATAGATTACCGTAAAGTCTATGTTAGTGTACCACATTCTTAGATTCTTAAGGTTTTGCAATTGTACAAGTTCTCCTCGGTGATAGTAAACTCCTTAAATGTAGCACGGAACTATGGAAAACCAAATTATACCTAAATCACGCCAAAGGCACTGCCACTTCCAATTGTTTGAATATCTGACAAGGAATATCGGAAGGAGATTCCCTTCTGCCCCTTGCTGTTATGTCTGATAATCCATTCTACATGGATGATATCAAGCTTTTTGCCAAAGACGACAATGAGTTGAAGGCTATCTTCAATACTGCAAATTGTTTCAGTGTTGACATATGTATGGGTTTCTGTTGCAGAGTAATTTTCACCGTGGAGGCTTGTATTTCACTAAGTCGGTCCTAAATAGGTTCGACGTACAAAACGATAGGAACTTGAAATAATAGTTAATGACGCAGCAATCTAGTTGGGGTGGTTGATACTTGAATGTCCGACATCGACTGACTCACTCAACTCCACTGAGCCCCCCTGGCGACTGCTACTACTACTACGTATTATATCTGGGAGAGTCTATTTACTATAGAATAGGTATGTTCCAGTATAACAATTTCAGATTAGATAAATGTGCAAAGTAACATTCAAGAAAGATTAGAACTCACTCAACAGAGAATTTGTCATAAATTTAGGGAACTAAACAAAAGGAAACTTATAAATACATAGGAATCAGTAAAGAAGTTCGAATACAACATGCCCAAAAGAAGGAGAAAGTAAGAAAAATAATTCAGGCGTGTGCGTCTGGTATTTGAGAAAGGGGTGAATTCACAAAAAAGAATATCATCCATAAACGCTTTGGCTCTCTCTGTGGTGCAATAAAGTTTAAAGATCCTTAATTGGATCATAGCTAACATTAAGCGAATTGATGTCAAAACGAGAAAGATTTTTCATTTGCAAACGCTTGCATCATCCTAAGGCTTATGTTTATTGTCTGTATGTATGCAGATCCGAAGGAGGCAGAGGATTAGTTGAACCTAAGCTGTCTTACAAAACTACAACATTAGTTCTTCAAAGACACCTGGAAACTACAGAAGACTGAATGATGATCTGCGTCAAAGAATATGAAAAACACATGAAACTTTATTCAGTAATAAAGGAAGCCAACAATCCAAAAGTGAATTTCAAGTGCAATTAAACGATAATGCAACTACTGCAGCGGAAAAGAAACTCAAAAAGAAAGCATCACCAAATGCAATGTACCAGTTGTATTCTTGCTACACAAAACCGATTTTTGCTAACAATAAATTAACAAGCACACATACTGAATAATTGTTTTAACCTAAAATGCATATTCTTAAATATACAGAAACTATTGACCTTCTTGTATGAGGCTGCATGGTGTTAGCATCCACTGAATATAAAACGACATGTTCGAGTAGGCCAATAATTAAACTGCAACTTTTACGGAAAGAAAACTGCAAGTTCCGGTTAAAAGAGTTACGATCTATAACAGTTTTATGGAACATCGCAATACACACAGACAGAAAAATCAAATCTAATCGCCCAGACATCGAGATCAAAAACCATGAAAACAGAATGTGCTTTCATATTGACATGACAGTCCCTGCCGATCGTAATGTATCTGTGAATATCTTCAAAGAACTATCAAAATCTTGAAATGAAAATCTCAAAAATGTGGCACATAAGGGCATGGATATTTCTAGTTGCAGTTGGAGCCATCGGATTGAGGAAAGAATTTTGATAGAATCATTTTAGTAATTCCTGCTAGACCATACCTTAAAGAAATACAAAACAACCGTACTTACAATTACAGCTCACACATTACGAAGGGCTTTATCCATGTAAACTGTGTGTGATCTTAGGGTTTTGTTTTTGTTTTTCCTCAAAGAATGCAGAGTGGAAAAATGTCATGATGCCATTTCTGAACTCATGTCCCTGTTTGATACCCGGAAAGAAATGGGTATACACCAGAAATTAAAGTAAATGAAATAATGATAATTACGGCAATGCTCTAATGACTTTCAAACCAAAACGAGGCAGAAAAGGCATCTATCTAGAACTGATCATCTAGAAACAAATCTTTAACCATGCGCGAGGTTTGATTAACTCCAAACGATTATAATTGGATGAATGCCCCCAAAAATCCGAGACTGTCTACTTTCAGACGAGATATAGCACATATCACTTGAGAAATATTTTAAAGACGCCATCACCTTGATTTCAATTTTGAACTTTGAATGTTATAAGTTCTCATTTTGTTTTATTACAAAAATAGTAATTCTGTTTTAATTGAGAATAATATTTAATTATGATAGGATAAAAAAACTCATTTATTCCAACCCATAATTATCTGATGCTTGCAGCTCTATCTCTCAACGACGCAAAATCTGTTTTATTCCGTCAGTGAGACACTGAACACTTGAAATAAATCATCGTATAAACATAAAAATAATATTCATTCTTTAATATGACAACTCTCCACTCTTTACGTATTTATTTTCCTTCTGT